CAATTTTTGCTAAAGACTAAACTTATAGCTTCATAAATTAATATTATAAAGAATTTTATTAAAAAGAATTTTTTAAACAATTTCTTTTTTTTAAACAATATAATTTTAAAAATTTACATCGAAATAAATTTATCTAATATATATAGCGTGTAAATTTTGTTAGGGTATATAAATATTCCATATTACTAATCTGTGATTTTTGTTAATATATTGTGGATGCATTTAACTATTATTGACATATTTCTTTATAAATAATAGAAGATTCCTAAACTTATATCTATTGACATATTTTGCGTGACTAAGTTGGAAGGTGTAAGGTAATTTACCAAATCCAAATCGTTAAGCGTATCTTTGTTATTATAGATATGGTTTTTCATAAAATATAATAATGATAAGATTATTAGAGTGTTAATGTAACATAACTTTCTAGTAATAGTCCATTTTTTAAAAAATCACACATGAAGTCAAGTCATGACTTCTGTTTTAATATATAAGATTAATACCTAATTTCGACTTGATTAAGTCACATGCTCAATTTATGTATCAAACAGAAATTAAGTAGCGAGACGGCACAATGGCACAATGTGCCACTCCTATAAATTTTCTACTTATAGATGATCAATCAAGTTTTATATAAAACAACAATTATAATCATTTAATTTAATTTGGATTACTTCAACTGGGTTGGAGTTGGATAAATCAAAGCAATATCAGGTAGTAGTATCCAAAATATAGATAATTTAAAAACGAAATAAAGCGGCGATTGTCTAAATTATGTATTCTATTTCTAACTGTCGATACAATGTGGCTTTCAAAATTTAGCAAAAATAAAATTAAAAAAATATGGCTTTGACAGTAAATAAAATACAATGAGAGATGATGTATAATGATGATTTGTAGGCCGATCTAGTTACCGACTAAAACGTGTTCCTACTATTCGAATGTCATTCTTGGAATTTGATAAATCGTAAAGTAAGAAATATCTATTAAATAATAATATATAGTTTACATTAGGGTTAGGTAAAAATATTTGAGATATTTTGTTTCGATATGTTACTTAAATCGCTTTTATTCCAACAAGAATCTAGCTAACGTGCAAACACAATAATCCTTCACCTAATTAAGATATAAATTGTAGTTATGCAACTTCAACACTTAAGAATAACATCCGAGGCTTTAAAGATAGGACCCTAGTTCCAAAACAACGGATATACGTCTGATTCGAATATATATATATAAAACCACTCAAGATAATTATGTCGGCTGATCTGTTGAATACTTAAATTTGGCTTAGTGTGAGTTTTACTTTTAGAAAAATTGTAACTAAAACGAAATCGAATGTACGTCTATAGATCTGTTTGTGACGATTTTGATATTGGTTTAACACAGATATATTCAAAAAAAAAAAATTTCAAACATGATTTTGGTTTGGTAAGAATCACTCATATTTTGAACTTTAGGAAATTGTAATTTTCAATTTGTATATATATCTAAAGTTTTACTTAATATTTGATAGTGACACATAATATATTAATCCAAATAATTTATATTTGAATTTATGTTCTCTTTATTGTTCGGTCTGATTTATTATCTTGACCAGATAAACTTCTATTAAATTTTATGTGAACATAACCAACACACACCAAAATTTTAAGTTTAATTATTATTTTTCTGTTTGTTAATATTTGACGTTTTAAGAAAAAAATGTTTTAAAAAATAGATGATATTTTCGATTTTCTATATAAAATTTATTAATATTTAATATTAAACAACTAATAGCATTTTTTATCATCTATTTTGTTATTGTTTGAATAGTGGTAAATTAGTAATAATGTCTTTTTTAATCTATGTGTCAAATTCTAAAAGACATCTATTAAAAACAGAGAGAATATAATATTGATTAACTGTTTGATTAATTAGGTGCTAAGTTAGATTTGTATGCTGCTCACATGGGTGTGCGTGAAATAATGCTTTTAACCATCTTTTTGTCTCTCCTACATTTCGAGCTAAAAAGTTAAGCTGCGTCTTTTTATTTATTTAATTTTTCTGTACATTGCTCTTTTGCCATTAAGAATGTTGCACGATATACTATTATTTATGGTTTATATATAACCATCCCACTACGAATTTAATCAGGCCAATGTATATATATATTGAATGATAAGAATGCATTTAAAAGTATTATGATTAGTTTGGGTCTGTTGGAATCTTTTCGATCGCTTAACTACTTCTATTTACTATTTCAAAATGATTTATGTTTTAGAAAAAAAAAACTGTTTCTAACAAAATATATTTTCATATTTTAATTATGGTGAATTTTAAATTTCAAATAGTTAATTATGCTTATTGAATTTTGGTTGGCTAAAATTTTACAATCAAAATAATACATTTATAATCAATATTTAAAATCTTTTTTTTAATGTGTGTGAAAAATAAAAAAAAATATTAAAAAAAAGGAATAATTTACAATAAACGTAGTTTTGGCACTTATGTCCATTAAGTATGTTAGAATTTGTTATGCCCCTGCAAAAAATTGTCATTATGTAATCATTATTAATTCATTTGATGTTAAGTTAGATTGTTTAATCAAAATTTACACTAAAATCTAAAACAATATTTTTTTTAGAAAGGGTAACACACTATTACTATGACTTTTAAACTAACACTAGATTTTGACCCGCGCAACCGCGCGGGTGTTTGTTTTCATTTATAGTTAGTTATATAAACATTTTGTTTTCACTTGTAAATTGGTATATATTATTGTAATCACATATTTACGATATGTATAGTAAATTTTTTTCAAACATAATAATATTATATAATACGTGTTTTAATCAAATAGATTGTTTCAACTTTTCTATATTATACATGTTTTTCAGACATGTGTTTGTTTCTTCTTCTATATTTTATTGTTTGTTAGATTAGTATTTCATTTTTAGATAAAGTAATATAAATAGAGCTTGATTAAATATTAGTATACTTTAATTTGGAAATATAATATAAACTTCGAAGAATTTTTGCTAAAAACTAAACTTATAGCTTCATAAATTAATATTATAAAGAATTTTATCAAAATGGAATTTTTGAAAAATTTCTTTTTTTAAAACAATATAATTTTAAAAATTTACATCGAAATAAATTTATCTAGTATATATAGCGTGTAAATTTTGTTAGGGTATATAAATATTCCATATTACGAATTTGTGATTTTTGTTAATATATTGTGTATACATTTAACTATTATTGACATATTTCCTTATAAATAATAGAAGATTCCTAAACTTATATCTATTGACATATTTTGCGTGACTAAGTTGGAAGGTGTGGGGTAATTTACCAAAACCAAATTGTTAAGCGTATATTTGTTATTATAGATATGATTTTTCATTAGATATAATAATGATAAGATTATAAGAGAGTTAATATAACATAACTTTCTAGTAATAGTTCATTTTTTAAAAAATCACACATGAAGTCAAGTCATGACTTCTGTTTTAATATATAAGATGTGAGCCTATCAAAAAGATACAAAGTCTACAGATTAGAAAAATCAATAAAATGACCATTTTCCTAATATAATTTTTATCTTAATGGGTAGCTTTTTTTTGTCTCCATATATAATTGATAGTTTAACCAAAGCAAAATAGCTACACTAAGTCCACGGATTTTGTTCTTTATTTTGGCAATGTATTTTTTATTTTTATTTTTATTTTAAACTTAACATTATTCTTTGAATTTGGTTTTCAAAAATCATCAAATAAACAAAGTTTCAAAAAAAAACATAAGAAACAAAGCGTGGTCACTAGTAATAGAAGCGGATCAAATTGTTAAAAAAATATAGAGATTGGTTTGGATCGTCAATCCAAATATGACATTTAAAAAAAAAAACATATGACCATGTTAAAAAGGTATTCGATGTAGAACAATACTAGTTCACTTCTTTGACCAACCTCACTTGCATAAATTTTGAACCGGAATGCTCATACTCTAGATTCATAAATTCAACGGAAATCAAATCTCCACTTGAGAAAATAATTTAGCAAACACTAAACACATCGACATCATTGATAATAAAACAAAATGTTCTAAGTATGTTATTTAACATTTGTTTTTAAAAATTCTAAAAGCGTAAAATTAAATCAAACAAAAAAAACCAGTCAAAGCCATATATATCTCAATAACTATTGGTCATATAGAAAGATAAAGTATACAATCTATATAAGACTCCAAATGTCCTCCTAGACAAATATATCTCAATAACTATTAATCTTCTTTGACCCTAACACTATTATATAATTTTACTTCAAGTAACTTAAATGAAATAAATTAATAAGGACGAGTGATATAAGCTCCCAATTTATATTTAAACTTTTATTAGTGTGTGAAAGCTATAGATTTTTAAAAAAGGTAAACTATGTCTTTATTAGTTTATTTTTAGTTTTGTGTTTTACGGAGTTATAATGTATGTTTTAGATTAAAAAATGTATATTTTGGATTTTTAATCATTTCTCAAATTGTTTGAGATTTAAATTAATTTTAGATAAAAATCAGAGATATAAAAAATAATGAACGGATTTTTTTTTACAAGGGATGGACTTAAACAAGTTCGAAGTGGTCATTTTCAATTTCAGAACACGTATAATAATTAAAACTGTTTAGTGGGATTTGAGTAAATAATTTGTAAAAAAAAAAAATTATGTTCTAAAAGTTGATGAATCATATCGTTAACACCATAAGTAGGGTCGTTACACCGCACCTGAACTGAAGTGCCCGTTCGAAGCCATAGAGAAGCGACGTGAAAACGAAACTAAAGATTCCTTTTATTTATAGTCAAAAGAAGTCAACGTTTAAGTCAGTTGACCGATGATGACGACAAATGACATCACCGTCAACTTTGTCTTCTCCTCCCTCTGTTTAAATAGAAACCAAACCCACTTCAACTTTCACTCACACACACATACAAACACATATAAACACAACAAGAAGCTAAAAACCACGCCATGTATGAACATATGAGCAGCTCCATAGCCTCTGGAGACACGTGTCCATGTTTGCTATACTCCGAGGACGTACTGGCTCCACCTCTGCCGCATGATCATCCTCATCACTTCCTACCTCCTCCGGCTCTATTGATGAGCCACCACTCGCTGTTTGCGGCTGAGACAGTTTCAGGGTTTGGTTATTTTGATTATGGTATGAACAGTGGCGGTGGAAGCAGCAGCTGTGACTCGCCGAGCTCGATGGGGAGCGGCGGAGAGAGTCTTGTTATGCAAAGGAGTGTGAGTAGCCATAATGGTTTTTCTGGTAATTTACCCATGACGGCCCATGATTTCGTTAACGATCATGATGGGCCAGTGAGACGGGCCCATAGCGCCGGAGATCTACCCGTAAGTAATATTATTATATACACACTTTCATAACGTAATTTTATAATTCAACCTATTAGCTTCAATAGTGTCTTTCTTTTGCATGATTTTTTTTTGTGAATTGATTACAAGATAGAAAAAACACAAAACAATTGGAATCTATGTTCTTATCATTTCTATCTGCGTTTACATAAGACAGTTTTCACATTTTTAAGAAGATAATTAAAAAATATGCCAACGTAGACGGAAACTAGCTTTTACAAATTACAGTGAACGTTTTGGGGTCATATTTGGCAAAAAAAAAACTTTGTTTTAAGATATTAATGTAAAAGCAAACAAACGTTTTGGAATATTTGTAGAGGAGTAGCAGAAGAGAGAGCAGTGCGGTGTTGAGTGAGAGCAATGCAATAATAGAAGGAATGAGCAAAGCTTATAAGTATAGTCCAGAGGAGAAGAAAGAGAAGATCGAGAAATATCGCAGCAAACGAAACCTTAGGAATTTTAACAAGAGGATTAAGGTATTTTTTTACATTTCTTACGTTTATATTATGTATACTCTGAATTGTGTGTAGCATCTATTTGGTCATGTGAGTGGAATTATTTTACAACTCGTATGGTTTTTGAACACGTAGAGAGATGCATGAACAGTTTAACACCATAAATATATATTCAGTATGCATGTATTTTATGTGTACCATTGAAACTTTTAAGGACTTGACATGTAGTTGTATGAAACAGTGACATGCACCTGCACACTTGTTTATGCTAATTTGCTAACTAACCCATTCATTTCAAATCAAGCATATATTTTCCAATTTATTCATCCATAAATCAGCTAATAATGAATTCTATAAATTTCGAAAAAATCATTCAAATTATGGATCTTCTTAAAAACAAATTTATTAGATCTAACTAAAGTATTAATAATTGTTCCTTGATGACTCAAAGAAAAGGTTCATTGACCTAAACAAATAGCCTCAATATATCATATCAATAACAATCACTTCAAAAGTAACATTGACTATTCTTTTAATCTTATCTTGAAACATAAATATCATCATTAGTAATATATGAGAATGTGTATAAAAATTGATGTTGTGTCACATCAGATGTGGTCTTAAGGAATCTTATGAGATAGACAATCAAGCTCCAAAGTTGCCTTAAGTTTATCCCCCCCCCCATCCCCCATTATTTTTTTTTTACGATAAGAAGATCCACACATCAAAAACACTTATATAGAAAAGAATTAGAGTATTCCATTAATTAATAGTTCACCCAGGAACTACATGTTGTATTACGATATAAATAAATGATCTAACTATCACCTTGGCTTTGAGAAGAATTTAATACATATATATGTTGTAATTAGTATGAATGCAGGAAGACATTAGCGGACAGTAGGCCAAGAATAAGGGGGAGATTTGCAAGGAATGATGAGATTTCACAACAAGAACAAGTTGATGTTATTGAAGCCGTGGTTGGAGATGTTGACACATGGACATCTTTTCTTGATTCTTTCTCTGCGAATCACTTCCTTAATTACTGATTAGTCTCTTATAATTATATTTATGTTTTTATTTTCTTATTAATGTTTATATGGCACTTTCATTTGTTTTGGTTTGAAAGATTTATCCGTGTTGCCTAAACTCATGTAGGTTTTGTGTGTTTTCTTTGTAAATAAGTAACATATTTTGTATTCTTGGATATCTTTGCTGAATAGCCATAAAACTTCGGACATAGTAGAATGGTATATAATTGAAACATTACATGTTTTAACTAAGACATGGTAAAAAATTGTTATATTAAAACATAGACCTAGCCGCAAGCAACACACCAATTTAGAACGTGCATATAATGTGTATAAAACGTCGATGTAGCCCATAGCCTGCGTATGTGAATAGTAGGCGACAAAGAAAAAGACAGGGGTTGAGTTTTGTTATCAAAGATAAGAAAAAGAAAAAGAGGTTGAAAATACTAAATAGTAATAGAACTTCATGTTGACCCAAAAGAAAAAAAGAACTCCATTTTCTTTTCCCCAACTAAAACAAATTATTTCATTCCATCATTATTACTTATGGGCCCTTAAAACAGTTCATGTATAGTTTATTATGTTCCTTAATGTTCCAAATTATATATCTTTTACCAAGTTGAATTACAAAAATAATCAGAAAGTAGAAAGATGATAACTTTTAGGATTGAAAAAACATGGTCATGTTACTCTGATGATTTCATAACTCTCACGTTAAGTACTCATCGTGCTACTAAGTACTAGCAATCTCCAAAAGTAATCATACATTAACACCTTATGAAATCAAAGAAGGTTCCACTCTAATAAACTAAAATAAAGTAATCAACCTAACATCAAATTGTCTTATTTATAAGAAAAAAGATCTTATTTTTTTTCCAAATGAGCCACACAGCTTGAGCAGTCTTTCTTCTTTAGCAAAGGCTATGGAGTGAGATGTAGGCCCTCCGGCGACCATGTTCCCGACTTTTGTCGGCCGGCGGTAGATTTACCGACTCTCCACTCTTTAACATGTTTTTCACTTTTATTTCTTTCTTTTTATAATTTTTTTAAAAAGTGTTTTTTTCTTATGCACGAGTACACGAAGAAACCAACTATAAACTTTAGAAATAAATTTATTTTTTCTTTCCACCCACTTATATGATCGGTTTAACAATAAAACCACGAGACTTGCGTGGGTCTAAATTAATGAGAAAAACTACTCTAATGTGTTTAAGAATTATAATTATAAACCTCTTCAATGTTTTTTTCTTTTACTGATTCGTTTGAAATGTTGAAGTAGAAAAGGCTTCAACGGTTGTAGTTGCATTAATCGAGTTCTACTCCTCTTAGCTCGTACCTTACCTGCATTTTATCAGCAATGGATGATATAACATAAGATTGAAGCTTAAACCAAAACATGCGGTTAAGATTTCCAAATGATGAAATTTAGATCCATACCTGAGTTTCTAACATTGTTTCTTTTAGAGGATTGGACACTGGCCTGTTGTTTAGTTTCGTTTTCTGTCTGGCTTTCCTTTGTTATCTCCAAGGTGTTGTTGTATCGAACCGATGGCTCTTTCCCAAGCTCTGCTTCAATGGAGTCTAAACTTGATACTTGGTCATGGTCTTGTCCAATCGCCTCTGGACTGAGAGAGTTACTTGATTCTTTTAGCAAATCGGTAGTCTCAGAGGAAGGTAAGTTAGGAAGATTAAAATTAACGTCACCTGTTTCATCATGCTTCTGGTCTTCCACTGTCACCTCAGTGTACTCCTCGTGATTTGCTTCCAAATAACCATCGATTTTCATCTCATCATCACCACCAATGAATGCAGAGTGCTCAATCTTAGTATGACCAGAGCTAGCTCCTTCTTTACTGACTCCGTCCAATGAGACTTCATCATGAACAAGACAACAAACGTCAAACTGCAAAGGTAAACACAATTGCTAGAAGAAGTGAATACATACCTTCAGTTTTTTGACAGGGCAGCTCTGGCTCTTTCGCTAGAGAGTCCAAGCAAGGACATGAGATTGATAACATCGTCCGGACCTCTAACCTCTGTAACTGAAGGAGAACCACTCGATATAATCAGATTTCCTTTTAGTTCAATCCACCAGTAACTAGTAATCCCATATCACAAGAACGTTTAAGCATTTCACCAGAAAACTCTTAAGATAATCATCAACTAAGCATATAACAAGAACGTATAAGAGCATATATAACATAGTAACTACGCATATAACATAATCATCAACTAAGCATATAACGAGAACGTATACGAGCATATAACATAGTAACTACGCATATAACATAATCATCAACTAAGCATATAACTAGTCCAATCCACCAGTAAGTAGTATCGCCATATCACAAGAACGTGTAACCATATAAAAGAAAATATTTAACATAA